TCTTTCAAAGAAGGCAAAGGACCAGCTGTCTACAAGGAGTATAAATCCTTCCATTCCCCACCCTCCAAGTGGCCTCAACGACTCTCTAAAAGAAGGCAAAGGACCAGCTGTCTACAAGGAGTATAAATCCTTCCATTATTCCCCACCCTCCAAGTGGCCTCAACGACTCTCTAAAAGAAGGCAAAGGACCAGCTGTCCACAAGGAGTATAAATCCTTCCATTATTCCCCACCCTCCAAGTGGCCTCAACGGCTCTCTCAAAGAATGCAAAGGACCAGCTTTCTGCAAGGAGTATAAATTCTTCCATTCCCCACTCTCCAAGTGGCCTCAACGACTCTCTCAAAGGCAAAGGACCAGCTGTCTACAAGGAGTATAAATCCTTCCATTCCCCACTCTCCAAGTGGCCTCAACGACTCTCTCAAAGAAGGCAAAGGACCAGCTGTCCGCAAGGAGTATAAATCCTTCCATTTCCCATCCTCCAAGTGGCCTCAATGACTCTCTCAAAGAAGGCAAAGGACCAGCTGTCTACAAGGAGTATAAATCCTTCCATTCCCCACCCTCCAAGTAGCCTCAACGACTCTCTAAAAGGAGGCAAAGGACCAGCTGTCTACAAGGAGTATAAATCCTTCCATTATTCCCCACCCTCCAGTCGGAAACTACCTTACTGGGCCTTTTATGCATTTTTTTTTAATTGTAAAGTCCCGTTGGAGTATAGTGCTAAAAACAGGGATTAAAAATAATAATAATAAAGCTTTCGTGAACTTACCTTTCGTCCTATCCCACCAGTTGGTTTTTTGGGAGGTGGGGGCTCAAAAATCCTCTGTTGTTGCTGAGGGGGAAGTGTGGAATATAAGGGGATGATTTTAATGTCACCCACTTCAGGGCCCAGGTCGTCAATTTCACGCTTTATCCTCTTGCAGGCTTCATCTATCTCCTACAAAAAAAAGTCGAGGGAAACGTTGTTGTTGTTGTTGTTGTTATTATTATTATTATTTTTAAAAGGCATAATGGCTGTACAATTGTTTTTTTAAAGCAGTTCTCCTGCAAAACAGAATGCTTTAAAACTTCTTTGTACCCTGGTTGAATTTTCAATGGGGCTTTCCTAACGGTCCAAGGTTGTTTTTGAATCGGGGAACGTACCAGCCTTATTTGTATTCAACAACCTTTTTTTTTTTTCTTCTTTTGGTCATATTTCCTAATTAATTCTCGACAAATTGCACTAAAATTGAAATCTCTCACCCAGGAATATGAAACTGCACTCGTGACCTTTTTCATTTTCACAATCCGAAGGAAATTAATGTGCACGGTATTTTAAATAATATCCAATTAAGCCTGAATGTCACGTATCACTAATGCAATTATAGGGGAAATTTGCTTTATCGTGCCTAATGAGAACAAGCACCTTGGCAGTACAAACATCGTTGTTCCAAAAAGAAGGCCTCCCCCTCTGTAGATTGGGAGGACACAGAGCACACCTCTGGAGCTTCCCCAGGAAATATTATCCGTCTTTCCGAGTCAAGTGCTCCAAGTTAATCTGAATCTCAAAACGCTTGCCGCTTAAATCATTCTTAAGAAACCCAAGAAACAATTTCAACAAGTAGTTTCGCCTATTAACAAAGAGGGTCCTTGTACTACTTCCAGGTTAATCCACATAAAATGGATGAATTAGCCGAGCAGCAGCAGAACAGAACTATTGATATTAGACAAAAAATAAATGCAAGAAGTCAGAGGTAAGAATTGTGAAGCATCCCCTGTACAGAATTGTCTCAAAACCTAGACCCATGGTGGTGAACCTGTGGCATGCGTGCCACGGGTGGCACGCAGAGCCCTCTCTGTGGGCACGCGCGCCGTCGCCCCAGTCCTAGGCCTTCAGCTGGCTTTTACAAAACCTTTTCGTTTTAGGCCTCCGCCGCCATTTGCAAAAAAAGAGAGAAAAAGGTTCAATCAATCAATTTCAATTTCAATTCATGGGAAAAAGAAGATCTCGCAAGGTTGGAACTGATTGATTGAACTTTTGAGTCCCACCCAGTCTGCCGTTACCACCGCAGCCACGCCCACCCGGCACCCGACGATACCTAAGTGGGTTTTGGGTTGCAGTTTGGGCACTCGGTCTCTAAAAAGTTCTCCATCACTGACCCAGACAATACTGAGAGAGGGAGGGAGGAGATGGCAGTGGAAGGGAGGGAGGAAGGAAGGAAGGAGACGGGAATGAGAGGAAGGAAGGGCAGGAAGGAAAGAGGGAAGAAAGAAGATGGAAAGGAAGGAAGGAGATAGGGAGGGAGGAGATGGGAATGAAAGAAAGGGAGGGAGGGAGGAAGGAAGGAAGAAGACAGGAGAGGGAGGGAGGGAGATAGGGAGGAGATGGGAATGAAAGGGAGCAAGGAAGGAAGGAAGGAGAGAGGGAGGGAG